GATATTGTAAATGAACACGTGTAATGTATATTTTTTATATTTTTTTTTTCTTTTGTCGTCTCACTGTTACCAGGTTGTATAGCCCAGTGTCGCGGTTTTCTATATTTGTCTTGCGCTTTTCGGGTGGCTTGAGTGATTGATTTGTTCTTTTTAAAGGTTTCTTCTACACCATTTATCAATCTCTTTTTTGGTCTTCTTCTCGCCCTCCTCCCAGATGTTCTACTGTAACAAGTCTCATATGCAGTCTGGTCTAGCTACATTCTCACCATATGGTCGAAACATTTAATTCTTTGTCAATATAATCAAGACATGGTCTTGTTCAAACTTTATCTCTAATGTTGGTATTTGTAGCCCTGTCTCTTCTTGTGTTGTTAGCGACCCTTGCGAAGACAGCGCATTTCACATGTAGTTTTTTTCTGTTCCAGTGTCCTTTTCATTGTCCATGTTTGGCACTGATAACATAAAGTAGGCATAACGATGCTATTAATCATTTACTGCTTTGCTGGAAGGGAAACATGTGGGTGTCTGAGCAGTGGGGCTAACTGGTAGGTGACAGCCTTTGCCTTCTGTATCTCTCTGTCGAGTGTGCCATCCTCCGTAAATATGCTTCCTAGATATTTGAATTCTCGTACTTGTTTGATTATAGTACCGTTAACATAAACGTTATTGTTTCCTGATTATTCTCATTACCTTAATTTTCGCGACGTTTATTCTTGTGTCATACTTTGTACAGGCTTGATTTAGGAGTCAATATGCTGTTGTAAATTCTGTTCTTGGTGGTTTATTAGACATTCATTGTCTGCAAAAAGAGGTGCATTGATTTCTTCAGTGTTTGTATTTGCTTCATGTGTTATTCTATCCATATAAATAATAAAAAGCGATTGTGAGAGGACACCTCCCTGTCTGACATCTGATGAGATGGTAAACCAGTCTGTCATTCCTTCTAGTGTTCTTACCGTGCACTGACTATCTTGGTAGAGAGCCATGATGTTACCCAACAGTTGTTCTTGAATACCATCATCTTCTAGAATTTTCCATAGTTTGCATCTGTTGACTTGATCGAACGCCTTCTCTTGATCTATACATATAAGGTGTTGACTTCTATAATATTCTATAGACTGCTCGCATATCTGCCTTTAAGAAAATACTACATCTGTACAGCTTTTCCCTTCCTGAAACCGAACTGTCTCTTAGTGAACTGGGGCTCTAGTACTGGTTCAGCTATAAGTTCCAATATGTTTACAAACAGTTTTCCAGTATGGCTCAGGGTGGAGATGTCGATCTATATTTCACAGGGGCATCTCCATAGAGACATTGTAAATGAACGCAAAGATCATATTTTGTAAATGAACACATAATGGATGTTGTAAATGATCATACGCGAAGACAGTCGATGGTGAACTCGAAGGAAGAGAAGACCAGTTGGCGGAGTTAGGCCTAGATAACTCGACTACTTCAACAGCAAGCTGTCTTGGGTGACGATGCAGGTGAGGCTGTAAGGTCACTAGAGAAACAAGACAAAAGTGATGTTGGCGATAGCTGTGTGCTGAAGAGGACTCAGAGCACTGAGTCCTGTCGGTCATCGGGGTTCCTTCGACCAGGCTGATGGGCTGTATGCACATACTGGAGATGGAAAATCGGAAGTTTTCCAGTCAGCCGATGTGAGAGCGTCTGCTACGTATAGAGCAACAGAGGTCAAGCTGAGAAGGGGATGTAACCTGTTTCCCCGTACAGAAAGCCATGAAGTGAGGGGAAGCTGGAGACCCAGGCACTGTAGCGGTCAGCTCAGCGTGTAGTGGCAGCTAGTGTAGGCTGTCCGAGAGAGCGCTGCTGTGTCAGTTGGAGCGAGCGAAGTGAGGGACTTTCATTTCATAGTTAGCCAGTGACATGTTTGGTTACTTCGCATGCATTATTACATGTAATGGTTTGTCCATACCCTCTTCAAATTGTGACAATAAATGTGCATATATGGCGGCAACATGTAGTTGAGTTTTCCTTACAGTTTTGTGTGCAAGTTGAGTACAACAGTTGCAGTGTTAATCCTACCCAGGACATTTGGTCGTGTGCTGTCTGCTCATTAAGCAACTTTAGCACACAACATCGTACTTAACCATAGTCAGTTATTCTCAAACCTCGTTACAGCACAGTCTGGAAACACGGAAAGGTGCTAACAATAGAACTGTAGGGGCCTAGATTTGCTGAGAGACATCAATGCTTATGTCATCTAAGGCACACGTGGACGATGATAATGATGATGGTGATGACGATGATGATGACAGTGGTGGTGGTGAGTTTAACAAACAAGCAACATTCACAAGTAGTCTTTGTTTTTTCTTCTACTGTAAAAAGACTTTGCATTTACAGGCTGTAAACTCTATCGGAATGTTCTGGTTGTTCATCCACTCTAGACTTTGGTTTTCTTCTACTGTAAAAAGACTTTGCATTTACAGGTTGCAAACTCTATCGGAATGTTGTGGTTGTTCATCCACTCTAGACTTTGGGGTTTTGTTCCATAACTGGAGTGTTGCGTGCACATTAGTTTGGCAGATCTACTTGATGTATGTGCAGACTATTGGTTCTTCGTCTCTTGGGCAGAGTCACTCCAGCTTGGAAGGACACAACCCTAGTTAGTAGCTGTTTACGACTTGCTTGCTATGGAACAGTGTGGCAGTTCTTGCCCCCCCCCCCTCCCCCCCCCCTTTTTCCCTTTTAAATGGGGCACTGGAACTCCTATTGTAAGCTTTTTATCATACGTCATGCTTCCAGTTACATACGACTAGGTTGAGGGACAGTGATTGAGATATAATATAGTCAAGGCATATTGTCGAAATCTGCTTGTAGTGTACATTTTCAATAAACTACATTTGATATCAGATGTAATCAATACAGTACATTTGATATCAGATGTAATCAATACAGTACATTTGATATCAGATGTAATCAATACAGTACATCTGATATCAGATGTAATCAATACAGTACATTTGATATCAGATGTAATCAATACAGTACATTTGATATCAGATGTAAGCAATACAGTACATATGATATCAGATGTAATCAATACAGTACATTTGATATCAGATGTAATCAATACAGTACATTTGATATCAGATATAATCAATACAGTACATTTGATATCAGATATAATCAATACAGTACATTTGATATCAGATGTAATCAATACAGTACATTTGATATCAGATGTAATCAATACAGTACATTTGATATCAGATGTAATCAATACACTACATTTGATATCAGATGTAATCAATACACTACATTTGATATCAGATGTAATCAATACAGTACATTTGATATCAGATGTAATCAATACAGTACATTTGATATCAGATGTAATCAATACAGTACATCTGATATAAGATGTAATCAATACACTACATTTGATATCAGATGTAATCAATACAGTACATTTGATATCAGATGTAATCAATACAGTACATTTGATATCAGATGTAATCAATACAGTACATCTGATATCAGATGTAATCAATACAGTACATTTGATATCAGATGTAATCAATACAATATCGCCGCTTCACTTTTAAAGAAATGTCCAGGAGGTCATTTTATGATGCTCGATCAAATGCACAATGATAGATTTGAGCTCAGGGCTATCACATCAGGGACTATTGCACTAACCACTTTATACTGGTGCTACTTCTTTAAATATACAATAATACATTGCAGAACGGATAAAGAGGACTCAATAGGGACCCAGCGAGTAGTTATTTTTTTTTTTGAAATTCATCTTATCTAGAAATGAGTTAAAGCAGTTAACATTGCTGGGGATAAATCAATTGTTGTTCACAACAGAAATTCGTCACATCAGAGGACGCCTTAAGCGGTCTGCACTGCATCATGTTGCAATACAAATACAATTGTATCATCTCATAACATTCTACTATCTCCACATGTAGGATGACAAACTTACATCTGAGTCAAGACTCTGCACGTATTAGCTCCGTCTCCCTCCAGCCAGCCAGGAGTCTCCCTGTTGATGCCACCCGTTGCCCTCTGGTTAACTACTCTTCTTGCCTTTTACCCCCGAGTCTCAATCCCCCCCCCCCCCCCCCCCAGTTTCTAGTCTCTGACCATAGTATATATGAACATACCATGCTGTCTTTGGGAACAATACGTGGTGAAACTCCAATCGCTTAAACAGTAAGGTTACTTTACCACTGTCGGAAAGACACAACTATGATGTTTGGCTAAACCGCTAAGCCACGGAAGTCTGCCCCTGAAAGGCCCATGACCATTAAGTGCTCTCACTAATGTCTAAGCCATAAGATGTGAGGCAAGCGACAGAGAAAGACAATGGACATGTAACAATGAAAACCATTGTAATTAATTGTAAGTAAGTGTGATGTTGATGCTCCGATTTCGGTAGTTCTGCTGACTGGGATTTGAGAACATGTCATTGCAGTAAAACCCATATGGCACGATAGGACTAGTTGCGAAGCCAGCCCCTGCTGTAGGGTAGGGAGGTATGTGTCCTTCGTTTGAATAAGGCGTTGATGGAGTATCGTGGTATGCGGGGAAAGGTGGCTGGATAGTGTTATTTCTTCCTTGACTGTTTTGTTGGTTGAGTAGGTCGTCACCTAGTACCAGCCGTGGCAAGGAAGGGGATGAACGTCTCGTTGGGGTGGACGAAGATGGAGTCATCGCCATGTCTCTGGAATCTTCATGGCGCGGCGACACGTCTCTGATGGGTCTGGGGTCGGGGTCACAAGGATCCAATCGGTTGGGTTGACTGGGAAGCGTTGGAAATATCACATTGTCCAAGGAGGATTCTACTGTAGATGGGGACCTGCCCATGTGACCCAAGACGGCACGAATGGAATTCTCGGTTAGTGGGCATGGTCTCCCTCTGCCTAGGCGGTGACGTTAAGGTTATGTAGGTCAGTTCTTGTGAGCCTTGCATGTGGTCTTGCTCTTTAGCGATAACCTCAGCTGGACGTTCGTACTTAGGTTGACATTCAACAGTTCTTGGGGGATAACATTGAGTGGGAGTTGAAACTGGGGGAAACTGAGTTGTACATGGATTCAGGATGATAGTTTCGAGTCTGTCCTCCGTGTGGTGAAGATGGCATGTCTCTGAAAACATGCTCAGTCGGTTCTGTTTTCAAGGATAAGCCTAAAGCATGTGACCTATCTTCAAGACTTCCTGCCATACCCCGACCTTTGTTGTAACAATGAGAAGGGTTGATCCGGTACCTGCTATAGTCGTCCCTACCATCGTTGATATAAATATTGGGTTGATTACATGTGCCAGCGCTACTACTGAAGTTTCGGGGCATTGAGTTCATATGCTGGAGACCTGCCGAGCTCGGGCAGTTGGCGACTTGAGGAGATCTCAAATCATCCATGGGGCTTCTACCAAAGTGCTGACCATGGGGCAGTGGGTTATTGATGACTTCGCCGCTGCCGTATCTGAAGATTTTCATATCATTGTCATGATAGTAGCTATGTGGGGCGAACTTTGAGCAGTTTTTGTATATATCAATGCCTGGAATGCTAACCTCTAGACCTGGAGCAGGCAGGCATGTGTTGGTGATGTTTATTTGCGTGAAAGGTCCGTGGGTTAACTGCTCCATCCCCAGTCCTGACACAGAGGGAGATCTGTGAGGCAGGTACGTGTGCGAGGGAGAGTCTCTGATAAAGCCGAACGCTGAAGGCATGAATGTGTTCTTGGTCTGGGCAGATTTGGGGCAGACACACTCAAAGGGTGGACAGGAACACATGACCTCTTCTGTAGAGAAAGTGTATAAACAAGTATTAATCACTAGACGTCATTACTTGGGCAATATTATTGCTAAAACTATACCAAACAATAAAGCTTGAGGTGGTAGCTAATAATTACACCCCAAAAAAAACTTAGTATAGGGAGGAGCAGCGGTGGTATAATGGGCTAGACGCTCGCCTGCGGATCAGAAGATCGTGGTTTGAATCTGGGCGGAACCGGATCATTTTTAAAAAATAAGTTTGGCTCCCAGGTCGACCCAGTCTTGAATGAGCACCAGGTAAAGTTATGTGCAAAGTAAAAGCAGAATGTGTGATGCTGACCACAGCACCCATCGATACATAAAATATAGTCCAGCCCTATGTGCCCAATATGCCTGAATGCGTGGGTAAGGGTGCTTTAGTAAAGGCACGATAAGCACTAGCAATAGATTCAGAGTGATACATTCAACATGAATATTTTGTTTTGGTCCGCATATGTAACTTAGTCTATCATGTGTGTGTGTGTGCGTGTATATGTTGGTGTGTGATGGTGTGTGTGTGTTTGTATGTGTAAACTAGTGAATATTGTCCAGTATGATCACATCATCTATTGCTATGTACAGTCACAGTGTTTAACATCAGATACCACTAGTGTCTGTCATCTTGTACAATCTCATCGTCGTCGTCATCAACACCATCATCATCATCTTATTCTTCTTCTACATCAAATATTTTTGTATTATTTTGAACTTGGGTGCACTGTGCGTGTTGACAGCTGTGCCATCTGTGCCTTTTGGCTGACATACCAAATTTGGTTTTTTTTTGGTTTTTATTTTGATTTTTTTTTTTTTTTTTTTTTGTTTGATTTTTTGACTGGGCTAGTTTATAACTTACATAACACGATGTGCAATAAGAGAACTCAACACGATTTCTTTTTTTTTTTTTTTTTCTGCCGTCTATCCCCAGAAGGAACAAAGGCCCTCAACCAACTCAGGCGGACCAACAGATCAGACAGCCAACGTGCACTCACCTCCAGAAGGTATGTAAATCTTTCTTTCTGGATCGTCGTCACTTGTGTGCACAGGAAATCGTCGTTTTGTTGGCATGGAAAAGATACGCTCCTGAAAAAAAAAACAAGTAGAGCACCCCGGTATCAGATAGTGAAATCTACATTAGACAAAGAAATATAATTTGAAGCACAAGTGGACAATGGAAAATACTAACTATAATTCGGATAAAAGATAAGAAGTGTAAAAGCTGGTCGAACTCGACATGCCTATTACTTCTACTTCTTGTTATTCCGTTTGCAACCATACATGCCTGTAACGTCCATTTAGTTGTCATTTAGTTTGCAACCACACCTGCCTATAACGTCCATTTATTGTCATTTAGTTTGCAACCACACCTGCCTATAACGTCCATTTCTTGTCATTTAGTTTGCAACCACACCTGCTTAAAACGTCCATTTATTGTCATTTAGTTTGCAACCACACCTGCATATAACGTCCATTTATCGTCATTTAGTTTGCAACCACGCCTGCCTATAACGTCCATTTCTTGTCATTTAGTTTGCAACCACACCTGCCTAAAACGTCCATTTATTGTCATTTAGTTTGCAACCACACATGCCTATAACGTCCATTTCTTGTCATTTAGTTTGCAACCACACCTGCCTATAACGTCCATTTCTTGTCATTTAGTTTGCAACCACACCTGCCTATAACGTCCATTTCTTGTCATTTAGTTTGCAACCACGCCTGCCTATAACGTCCATTTCTTGTCATTTAGTTTGCAACCACACCTGCCTATAACGTTCATTTCTTGTCATTTAGTTTGCAACCACACCTGCCTATATCGTCCTTTTATCGTCATTTAGTTTGCAACCACCCCTGCCTATAACGTCCATTTATCGTCATTTAGTTTGCAACCACCCCTGCCTATAACGTCCATTTTATCGTCATTTAGTTTGCAACCACGCCTGCCTATAACGTCCATTTGTCGTCATTTAGTTTGCAACCACAAATGCCTATAAAGTCCATTTATCGTCATTTAGTTTGCAAACACAAATGCCTATAACGTCCATTTATCGTCATTTAGTTTGCAACCACGCCTGCCTATAACGTCCATTTATCGTCATTTAGTTTGCAAACCACACATGCTTATAACGTCCATTTATTGTCATTTAGTTTGCAACCACGCCTGCCTATAACTTCCAATTTCTTGTTTTCTATTTGGCTTGGTCTTTTTTTTTTATAGAAAGCAAAGCCTCCTGTTGCGAGTGTCGCACAAAGAGCTGAAACTGCAGCTCCAGCAACGAAAGGATCTCCAAAATTTAACATAATTGTGCAGTTCCTGAATAGAACCAATAACCCTTTAAAACGCAAGGCAAACGTCTTTTCCATTTCGCCACAGAGCATCCCTCTCCACTACACCCCCCCCCCCCCCCCCATATTTTTGTTTCTCCCCGCCTACTCTATTTTTTTCCCTTTCCTTTCTACATCTTTGAACTTCTATAAATTCTACAGAAGTTGGACTTTTGCGGTGCACACTTTTCGGTTCTTTCGTTATAAGTCACCCCCAAAATGATGTCACGGGAACAGACCACTATTTTATTGGATGGAAAGACCAGGTTTGTGGTGCTTTTAACTACTCCAAAACACATAGAACTGGACCTAACCCCAACCCACCTACGGTCAAAGGACTGCATGCAGCCTAGGTCAAACGACTGCATGCAGCTTATCTATCCTCCTGAAATATTGGACTGCCTGTCTGTGGTGAATAAAAACGAAAGCAGCCATTTTTCTTCTTTAAACATGCTAAATAAGCAGCTTGGTATGGTGAATCGATGTCTCGCAAAAGTCCTTATAGCTTTAGAACTGTTCTATTGCCCTCCGCACATTACAAAACAATCAAGTCCTTCTACATATACTGGACAGTCCATAGCGCGTATGCTGGTCAACATTTAATTTTGTTTTTGCAAAGACGATTTAGTCGATATCAAGTGGTTCTAAATCAGCAATTCAAACAATTACTGCCATATCGAAAAACAGATTTAATTTTTTTTTTTAATTAGTGAAAGGAAAAAAACTTGTCAGTCAGTCAGTCAGTCTATCGAGCAACCAACCAATCACACCTTCCACTGGTGAATCAAATAACATTTTAATCATCATCATCATCAGGTGCCGTGCCGACTGGCGTGGGCGATCATGCCTCTCCATAATCTGCGATCTACTGCAGCATGTATCAGTTCGTGTGCCGACACACCTCCATGCGCAGCAACAAGATTGTCAAGCATCTTCTCTCTTTGTCTTTCTCTATCCCTCCTTCCACAGATCTTTCCAGTGGTCACAACATGTTCTATTTTCTCTTTTCTCACAACATGGCCGAAAAACGATGACTGTCTCCTTCTGATGTCTGTGATAAGTTGCCTTCGGGCTCCAGTTCAATCAATCCGTCAAAAAGTATCAAATCAAAAACGTAAATAAAAAATCAACTCATCAGATAGGAAGCCAAACTAGTAAACAACTAATCTGCTTACCACAACAAGAAACAACAATCAATAAGTCAAACAACCAACAACTATTCAACCAATCAACAATAAAATCAGCTAATCCAACAAGCAATTAATCAATCATTCATTCAACCAAACAATAAACAATGGAACAGTAAACAATCAAACAGTCAACAGTCAAACATGCAGCCAACAATCAAACATACAGCCAACAATCAAACATACAGCCAACAATCAAACATACAGCCAACAATCAAACATACAGCCAACAATCAAACATACAGCCAACAATCAAACATACAGCCAACAATCAAACATACAGTCAACAATCACACATACAGCCAACAATCAAACATACAGCCAACAAGGTTATGTAAATTACATTACTCACCCCATCCTGGCGAAGCTGTTTGGAGAAGGCGTGTCTGCCCTTGTCCGACAAGGATTTCACTTCCGGTCTAGGGTGGTCGTGATAACCTTTGGCCTGGAAAAACACGGAATTGTTGACGTGTCTCCAGAAGTGGGTCACTGGGTAACCACAATGTCCGCGGCAGGAGAGAAGTGTCAGCTTTCCCTGGCATCCCGGGTTTGGACATGGCTTACCTATTGGAAAAAGAACATTCCAGCATAAAACGTTAAGCTGAAAGACTAGCAATTTCAGATATGGTTGGTTACAGAAACAAGGGTACACCGCTAGGTGTGTATGTTTATAGAGAAGTCGCTACTCGTTTTGTGGTGTGGACAATACCACGGCGAACTACTTTACTCCTCGGGACCTATTCAGCACTCAGCACTCTCAACGGTGAATTACAGATGGGTAGAAAATGCCGGAGCGATCTCTACTACGATATATAGATGTGGGCAAGCGGGGCATGAACGATACAGGTGTTGAGCTAGATTCATGGAAATGAAATGCCATGGGCCGTGTTTCAGGAAGGGGCACATCAGGAAGGCAGTGAAAGTTAAGAAAGATATGAGTGCAGAAAGGATGAGAGCTGAAAGTATAAGTCGAAGAAATGGAAATACATCTGATGGCAACAAGGGTTCTGAAATCCCATGGTCTTATTGCAGAAGTCTTTTCTTAACAAAGGCGGGTCTTGTTAGTCACATTCGCCACCGCCGTGGGTTGTGACTCCAGTGTCTCATCATAGCATAATATAACACAATTGCCTGAAAAGATGGAAATGGTGTCAATATAACAGTATAGTACTGGTAGCAAAGAAAGATAAGTCTCCTTCGATGGGGATTCCAAGCCTAGAGCTCCAGGTGGGCAAGAAATCTTCTCCGTTGAAGGCAGACAGGGGGTTGACCACTAAGCACAATAAACGTGTGCTTCGGGTATCAGTTGGGAGTCGCCGAGCGGCTTGACGCTCGTCGCGGATCGGAAGGTCGTGGGTTCGCTTCCTGGCGGAGCCGGACTTTTTTCAAAAATGACTTTGGCTCCCAGGTCGACCCAGCCTTGAGTGGGTACCGGGTACAGTCCAAGGAAAGTAAATTCGGCCGGCGTGATGCTGACCACATCACCTATCTTGTGCCAATTGGTCTATAAAAATATAGGTATAGCCCTATATGCCCTATACGCCTAAGGGCGTGGAAAATGGTCCTTTATAATTTTTTTAAAACTTTTTTTTCGGGTATCAGTTAAAGAAGACAGCACGAAACATATACATTGCCAGATTTACTATTATTCCTTTCTTGTAAATCTACATTGTGTGCACTAGAACCTGGCTCTAAACAAGAGAATTAACACAATGTGACCAGGGTACCAACGCTCGAGTGTGCAAAATGAAGATTATATTTTGCAGAAGCAGAAAATATGTTTGCATTGGTGTTGTCTTGGGAAAGGGAAGGAATCTGGTAATCTTAGTTTCAGCTTCATAGCAAACGGGTCACCCCATAGTTGCTCCGCTCCTGTGTCAACGACATACATACAAAATGTTTATCACAGTCACATGTGGAAAGATTGACAGACTGCTGTTGTAGTAGCAGCAGTGGTGGTCGCGGTAGAAAAGGTGGTTTGGTGTGGTGGTGGTGGAAGCAGTAGTAATAATATTAGTAGATGTAGCAGTAGCAGCAGCAGCAGTAGTAGTTGTAGTAATAGTAGTAGTAGTAGTAGTAGTAGTAGTAGTAGTAGTAGTAGTAGTAGTAGTAGTAGTAGTAGTAGTAGTTGTAGTAGTAGTAGTAGTAGTAGTAGTAGTAGTAGTAGTAGTAGTAGTATAGTAGTAGTAGTAGTAGTAGTAGTAGTAGTAGTAGTAGTAGTAGTAGTTGTTGTTGTTGTTGGTGTTGGTGTTGGTGTTGTTGTAGAAGCAGCAGCAGCAGCAGTAGTTATATTAGTGGTGGTAGAAAAAGAAGGAAGGGGAGAAGAAGTAGAAGAAGAAGACGAACATCAACAACAATAGTAGCAATATGATCAAGTTTGAAGAGAAAAAAGTTTACTGACCAATTTGCTTCCTCCGTGCCTTATCACAAATCGCCGGCCTTAAGTGCACCTTTCTGCCAGAGTCTAGCAGACAGTCCAGCGAGCAGACGAGCACACCCAGGCAAGACTTCTTGAGAATGAGGGCGTTGTGGTTGTTGGTGTTCCGCATAGCCCAGCCACTGACGTGTCTTCTTGCATCATCGCTGTCGCCTCTGTACACTCGCCGGTAGTGACCGCTCGGCCACAGCTCGAAGGAGTCATGCGCTTCAGTCTGAAAACACGTAAAAATACAAATAACTAGGCGGTGTCTAATAAGTTTCCATTAAAAATTGTATCAAACAATGTTTATATATATATATATATATGGTAACATCAACATGACAACAATTGTTTTAAAAAGACAAACATTGCGTATCTTCCACTGCTATAAAGGTATATATTCCTTACGTCCTTCTTAGGACGTAATTTTTTGTTATTTGAAGTCCCACTCTGGCTTTTGCCAGGGGCCGCAATATAGGCAGGCCATCAATATGGCCAATTGTCTGAACGCGGTTTCTGGGACCTCTCCACGGTGATCCTCATCCGCATGGTGGCACTTTGCGTCATCGGGTGTTTATCGCTTGTGTGATGTCCTGGTGGGGTAGAAAGTCAGTCAGTCAGTCCACTGCTATATAGAACACGTATAAGTATGAATGAATAAATGAATGAATGAATAATTGACATCAATGCACTCGAGAGATTCCCACACGTGCTCCGTCTCCTTGTCAGTAGGAACCCAAGAGTCGATATGCTAATAGTCCATGTTGCAACCTGATGAAAAGTACGAATATTTTCCTACCCATCCCTCCCTTCTCAAGGGTTGAGCATCTTCCAGACACCCTGGTCACCTTTCGCTGAATTATACTGTCAATGTATGGATCCATGGTCTGTTCTGTTGCACTGCCAACTTGCTCCCAGAGCGCGTTCACTTCTGCTTTATCATAACGTAGCTCACCACCCAGAGGAAAAGCAGCAGCCAGTCTATCATCTTGCTTTTTACGCCGCACACTAGAATATCCTGAACAGAAAATCCTCGAGATGCCCCTCATCAAAGTCTCATCAAGCGAAGCAAGCCACTCTGTGTGTAGGACGCCAATTTTTATTTTCCGCAGCATGCTCCGTGAGTCCGTTACAATGACCACATGTTGGGCTGAGCTGCTCACAAGCCATCAGAATGCTGCCGCTACCGCCTCCACCTCCATTCTTCTATTGGATGTTGTGACGTTATATGCGAGGCTTTTTGTTGTCAAACAGTGTTCATCAACCTTTGAAATAAAACCCCACCCACTCATTTTACCTCTCACAAAGTACTAGCATAGCTAGAGTTATACTTATATGGAATTGATGATACTTTATGTATGGAAACAAATGGGACTCTGTTTTTGCACATCTTTCTGAGAGCCGCTGAAATCAATTATTGTCGTGGGCTCGTTTTACGGCTGCCTCGTTCAGTTCACGAGTGAAATTTGTTTACGGAGACCCTTGGATCGTCACCGGCGACACGGTATTCGCGCTTTATTCCACGCTCTCTGTAGTCGATCAACCCTTATGCTACGATGCTCAACCATATAGAGTGAAACCCTTTGCAATGAAGAGGATGCTCTCGTCTTTAACTTTAACCTTTGTGATAGCGTCTTTTTTTTTTTTGGGCTCAAAATACATGAGTTTAGCAAGACCTTAATTAGTAGCATTTTACATACTTGTTAAAAGTGCCCCATCCCCCACCCCCCCCCCCCCTCCCAGCTCTCTAAATGAGTCCCAACCCCGCAAGGTTGGTTTGAACAAACGAACTTTATTTTCAGAGTCCCAATTTGGACTCGCCGGCCCGACTTACATTCAGCCATTTCAAACACTCATTTTTTCACACAGCAACTGTTTTTATCAATAAAGCATGCTGTGTGATTTTTTTCTTCCATTTATTTCAGTTAAACCAGCATTTTTTTTTTCTCATCATTCTCATCATTTAAAACTTCCTTTAAAAAAAAAAAAACTTTTTTCAAATCTACTTTTGACTGGTCAATAGCCCCACTTTACTACACAGTAGACATGACTGGGCTAAAAGCCTACTCCTTTGTCAAGGCAACATATTGTCAAATGTCCTTACATACTGTGCTAATTTTTTTTCATTCAAAGCAACAATTTTTAGGTCTATATTGCCTTATTATACAAATGACACTTTTTATGGCTAGCAGTCCTTAGCTAACTTTTCAGTTGTCAAATTTGCATACTGCGGGCACGCGTATCGTTAACATCAACATCCGCTGGTAGGGTATTTATTCGAGGACATACTCAATATGTAAACCTTTCTGTGAGTTCAACGAATACGCTTTTTGCTCCATATTAATTACATTGTTGGGTATTTTTAGAAGAGATCTAAATATTGGCACTTTTGATGATGATAATGATGATGAGTGAGACAGAAAAGGGACGTTATTGTTAAAGGAGTAAGAATTGGGCACGCAAGCCCGTCAAACATTCTGCTGTCTACATGTAAACCACACGACCAGTGCCGAGAACTGAAGTATGTGTGCCTGTCCGTGCTGGATCCACAGATTGGTTAGATGTAGGAGTACGTACAACTGGAAGGAGCTCATGGATCACTACAGTCTGGTGAGAGCGATGCTGGAAGGAGCTCATGGATCACTACAGTCTGGTGAGAGCGATGCTGGAAGGAGCACATGGATCACTACAGTCTGGTGAGGGCGATGCTGGAAGGAGCACATGGATCACTACAGTCTGGTGAGAGCGATGCTGGAAGGAGCACATGGATCACTACAGTCTGGTGAGAGCGATGCTGGAAGGAGCACATGGATCACTACAGTCTGGTGAGAGCGATGCTGGGAGGAGCACATGGATCACTACAGTCTGGTGAGAGCGATGCTGGAAGGAGCACATGGATCACTACAGTCTGGTGAGGGCGATGCTGGAAGGAGCACATGGATCACTACAGTCTGGTGAGAGCGATGCTGGAAGGAGCTCATGGATCACTACAGTCTGGTGAGAGCGATGCTGGAAGGAGCACATGGATCACTACAGTCTGGTGAGGGCGATGCTGCAAGGAGCACATGGATCACTACAGTCTGGTGAGGGCGATGCTGGAAGGAGCTCATGGATCACTACAGTCTGGTGAGGGCGATGCTGGAAGGAGCACATGGATCACTACAGTCTGGTGAGAGCGATGCTGGAACGAGCACATGGATCACTACAGTCTGGTGAGAGCGATGCTGGAAGGAGCACATGGATCACTACAATCTGGTGAGAGCGATGCTGGAAGGAGCACATGGATCACTACAGTCTGGTGAGAGCGATGCAGCGGGGAGTGACGAGGGGATTTGGTCGATACTCGACGCTCAAAGCTACTGGCACAACTGGTTTAGGAACTCTGCGCTGACTGCTGAAGATGGGGACGGAGAGATTATGGGAATGCCCCGAGTGCTGTGATGTCTGTCTGTTCTTGAATCAACCCAACTCAAGTCAATGGCTAGATTCCGTAGAGGTTCTATACCTGTCCTCTGATGTCAAGTTGTTATAACAGTCTTACACATCCCGCTGGCTGCTAGGTTTGGGCGGGAGGTGGTGTTTTTAACTGTGTGAAGATTCGACACCACATCATCAAGGACAAGTACATTTTAGCGCTGTCTCCCTTCTCAGCAGCCGGCAACGAGTCTCTATACTGTTGATGCCCGTTTTCATCTGGTTAACTACTCGTCTTGCCTGTCCCTCAATAGGCTCAAGTGGCGCCAAGAGCTCGCAAACACTCTTCATTGTCCCATTCTCTTCCGGTACGGGTTTTCAGTGTCTTCCATTTTACTTGTCAACCGGTCTCACGGGCGAGAGATCGCGTCTGACCTGAGCGGTTGCAGTACACCCTCATATTTGGCCAGTCCAGCCAACCTATCTGCCTGTTCATTTCCAAAACAAAACAACAGGGCTCGGGTAAATCTCCATCTGACTCTCACAACCGACGACCTCTGGACTGTTGCGACTCACTCCATAGGAAGAAAGATTGACTCCACCCTCCTGAGCATGTTTTGTGAACTCAGTACAATGACAAGATGTGTGGTGGAAGTATGGGGATAAGAAGGACAATTTAGAATAAGCGTTTAGTGGTGCTACATCAGTACCGGGTCGGGGGGACAATCTGAGATATTCAGGTTCATATCTGTGCTTTTCTGTGCTCCTATGACAAAGACAAAAGCAAGCTGTATTATAAATCTGGAACTCATTGCCTTCCAGCAGATCTGAGACAATGTGCTGACCAAGCTGAGTGAGTGAGTGACTTTCTATCCCACCAGGACATCACACAAGCGATAAACACCCGATGACACAACGTGCCACCATGTGGATGAGGATCACCGTGGAGAGGTCCCAGAAACCGCGTTCAGACATTTGGCCATTTTTATGGCCTGCCTATATTGCGGCCCCTGGCAAAAGCCAGCGTGGGGCTTCAAATAACAAAAAATTACGTCCTGAAAAGGACATAAGGACTTGGAGCTATATTAACCAAGCTGGCAATGAATCGACTAATAAAACAGCCAATGAAACCAATCAACTTGCAGAACTAGCCAATCAATCTTCAATTAATCGAGCGGCAAACAACTTTTTCAGTTAACAGAAAATCACTGAAAAGACAAATTTCTTAACCTACCAGTCAATTAACTAACAATTAACTTAACCAACCAAGCAATCAGCAAATGTCTAATAAGTCTCCTTTTGCGACAAGCTATCATTTGTTGTTGTTGCTACTGGCAGTGAGTCTTTTCCCAAACAGTCAAATAATTAATTTACTGACCAATAAACTAAACACCAAATAAACCAAACAACGACCACTAATAAATAAGTGGCCATTTACAACATGCTTCTTAAAAGAAAGTGTGTCTATTTGATCCCCCTCCCACTTTTTCCTTTCCCAAGAAATTCGGACACAGGGGGTCACCGCGTGAGTGATACTGGATACATTATATGGAAAATGTTGCTATTTTAAAATTATACTAGGCGTGTTTCTCTCTTTCTCTCTCTCTCTCACTCTCTCTCTCACACTCTCTCTCACTCTCTCTCTCTCACTCTCTCACACTCTCTCTCACACACTCCCTCTCTCTCTTTCTCTCTCTCTCTTTCTCTCTCTCTCTCACACACTCTCTCTCACACACACACTCTCTCTCACACTCTCTCTCACACACTCCCTCTCTCTTTCTCTCTCTCTCTCTCTCTCTCACACACACTCTCTCTCAC